TCTTAAAATGAAGTCTCCCAAGATCTGACCTTGGCCTGTTTCTTCAGCCTTATTTCCACCTACTTTCTGCCCGATATGCTCTGCTAGTTCCTGTGGGCCTCTACCTTCCTGTCTTTGTTCATGCTTTTTTCTCTCCCTGGAATGTTCTTCATCTCTGCATGACCTCCATTTTCTGGCAAATTCCTACCTATTCTTTAAAATTCATTTCAAACCTCGAACACTCTAGTAAGCCTTCTTTGATCCTTGTCCCCCATGCCACCCAGGAGGTGTCCCTACCGTGGGCTTCAGTAGTCTATGCACGTATTTATCAATTGCACCTTCTTCGGTGTGTCTTATTGCATACACTGTGTCTTTATTCCTTATGAAGTAATCAGGGATAATTTTTTAATCTATCATTCCATATCTACCACTTAGTCCTATGTGCGGCACAGAAAGATGTACTCAGTAAATATTTCTTTGAATGGATTTAATGGAGGTAATAGCTGAAACTATGATACAAGGTGAAAATCTAAGAGAAATTTATTTCTGATTTTCACGAATGCTGTTATTTAAGAAGCCAGGGTAAATTTGCATAAAAAAGTTAAAAGGTGGATGGTTTTGTGTTTTCTTTCTCAACAACTGTCTCCGATTATGTTCCACGTTCTTTGTCCATTCGCTCTTCTGATTTGCCACTAGCAAGTCTTCATCTGAAATGGAATGATCATTTGCTCATTCTTATTTAACTTTCTATAAACATCTATTAAGTTGAACCGTGTGAAACCAGTGTTTTACAGGTCAAAAAAGGTCAGATATTGGTCATTTCTATGATTCAAACTAAATACAAGATTGGGAGCTAGGTCTCCCTTCCTTGCATCTCTTCACTGTATTTCTACGCCGTTCATATAGTCTGGGTTTGCTGTATTCATGACTTTTATAGTTGGTAAAGCAACCACATAAATTTCGTTCAAGCAATGTAGACGGTCTCAGTGCAGGGTGCTGCTGCAGGAAGAGGTGAGACTCTATCTTGCGATACTATTCAAGCAAAGACTGGGAAGCCATGTGTCAGCAAAGCCTTAGAACGGACTTTTGCATTCTGTAGACAAGTGGACTCCATTACTACCTCCATATTCACACCCAACTCTCAATTTCATGACTCTGTAAGAGTTAAAATAATGTTTAGCATCATTAAGACATTAATCTCTACTTTCGCGGCTGTCCCACAATTGAATTTCCACGTAGTTGCTTACATTTCTCTATGGATTCAGGAAAGCATTCGTCCCACATCATCTAATTGATTAAACATACTTTGCCCTCATGACATCTCCATCAGTCATTCCCAAACACGCTTAGCACGAATGAATAAGGTGGTTGATGTCAATGAACGTGACTTTCTAGAGGAGGATACCGCTAGACCACAGGCAGTGGAAGACCAAAGGCCAGTGTTCCGGTGCCTTGGGACTCTGAGTTGGTCAATGACCCTCTGCTTGGGAAACGGGACTTTTTTGAATGTTTCACCTGACTTTTATGTGAATGTTGGTGTTAATATTTTTCTTACTGTTGATTTCTTAATTCCTTCTAACTTTTAAACTTAAAAGAACCTTTGAAACTAACTGAGCTGAAAATATCTTTTAAAAATAAGGAACACATTTAGATTCTGGTGCACAGCAAATTCTCTGTGAAGGAAAGTTCCAAATTTGTGATTCTATTTACATTTCCATAAACACAGAGAATCTTTGTCTGAGCTTATTATGTGACAAATGACAGTGTTAGAAATGGGGTGTTTTAAGACTCTAATTATGCATGCGCTCCCATTCTCGTTAGTCTTCATGTTTTGTTGCTTCACATTTGAAGCAATGCAAAACTTGTACTTTTTGGCTCAAGCACCTTTTCCTCAAAGTTGATATTTTAATGTATTTTAACTAACATTGGCCTCATTAACGTAATTAAAATACTAAAACATAAGAAAGGTGCTAAGGTGCCACCGCTCCTCAGAGGCAGATCCTGAGATGGAGATGATCTTGCGCGGTGTTTGTTAGGGAGTGGCGTAGGGGTCAAGGCCTGTGGGAGGGCCAGAGGGGACCAGAAGTTGAGCTGCGCCGCATGCCCAACAGAGGCCTCAGCCAACACCTCAGCAAGCTCTGGGCGGTCATGGTCCTTCAGAGTTGTCCCAAGTCGGGCTGGGAGCAGCCTTAGACACCACATAGAACAGAGATTGGAACACTGTAGGCTCTGGTTTCTTACACTCATGTAGCATTCAAGGTCCCAGACATGTCAAGGAAGGAGGAGAGACTTCCAGAACTGAAAAAGCCATGTGCTCAAGGACCATAGATGAATTAGGGGTAACGGGTACAGGCGGGATCTCCTTCCCTCCTGAGGGGGGACTGGGCAGCCTGCATATGGGTTTGGGCCTTTCTCGGGTCCTGTTCCCAACTCTCTGGTTTAGTCAATGCAAATTAAAATTACTTAAATCAAATTAAAATGTCTGTGTCTCAGTCGTCCCCGCTGCACTTGGAATGCTCATTTGCCGCGTTGGCGCGGGACATCTCCACCGAGGCGGAGGACTCTGTCAGGCCGTGTGGCCCCGCACACACCGTGCAGCCCGATCTCGAAAGTCCCGCCGCCTCCCTGAGACCTTGCGGGAGAAAGGGGCCCTTGCTCATTACCCGGATGACTCGGAGGCATCCCTCATCTCGGAGGCACCTCTGTTTTGCCTCATCGAGTCCGTCTTTCTTTCGTGTTCAACGTTAATATGGCTTCATAAACCAGAGCTGGAATCAGCAGCAACTGAGGTGTTTCCATCTCCCAAAGGCCAGGCCGGGGAGGCGGGGGAGGCGTTGGTATTCATTGCACTCGTTCAGTTAGAGAAAAGGCAGAAAAGCCATTTAAGTTTGCATAAAAGAAGGATGTAAACGCTCATACCTTGCCGCAGTGACATCCAAAAACATGACATTGTTGGCCAGCAAGAAATTAATGGAAAACAATGAAATTATGGCATGAGATATACTTTAAAGCATCAATAAGCATTTTAGAATTAGCCTCCTCCAAAATAAACTGTATTTGATGATAATAAAGACCTGCTTTGTTAGGTGAGCCTTTCCATGAGTCACCGTCTTTAATTATTCAGTAAACATCGCATCTGTGCCTTAGTTGCTGATTCTTGCACTGTTTTCTTCTACAACTTTTTGTTATGCAGACTGTACCTCTCTTAAAACATTTCCAAGCAAACTCTTCCAGACTTGAAATTTAATGTCTTTAGTGCATGCGGTATTCATTGTTATTTTCTTCCGAAGTCTCAGCAAAAGTCTAGCCATTGCACAAATCATTTGTGATGCTTAAAGGTATTTTTTTCCGAGTCAGCTCTTCAGTAGGTGTACAGAAAAGACAGTCTTTAAGGCGGATCTTTTTTTCTCGCATTGTACATAGGCTCTCCCGTGAGGTCTATGGGAGGGGAAAGGCCAGCTTACATTCATGTTCTTCTGCGTAAGGGAGCTGAACTAAATCACACAGATTGAATTTTTATAAAATATGATAGAAAAATATACAACTGCACTATCTAAAAAAACTGATTCTCGTATCTCCCCATTATCCATAAAGGCACTCACCTCCCCGAGTCTGCTGCCACAGTCCCGCAGACGAGGACTCATTTCTTCATTTGTTCATTCATCACTTATTGAAACCTACATGGGATAAACAATGGGCATGGCTTTTGAGGGTTCTGACCTGTGGAGCATGTAACCACGAAGCACTAGTCAATGGGAAATAAATTACCCCATCTATTAATAAGATTAAGTGCCCAGCACTCCAGTGCAGAGGTCCAGTAAATATTGGACCAGAGCATCTGCTTCAGGATTAAGACTAAACGGAGCTCCTGACTTCTTTCTAAACGCAGCTGGTGAGCCCAGCGAGCTCGCCTGAGCCAGCACGTGGGAGCCGGGCCGGTGACGGCCTTCCAAGCCCACACCTCATCTTTTTCCTTAATCACTTGCATGGGTTTGACCACTGCTGTGCAACACATCGAGTCTCAGGCAGGACAGACGAGAGTGGCAGATGTTCCTCACCTTTCAGAGGAGTGACTGCCACCAGCAGGATGTGACCAGGAAATGAGGTATCTTCTTTCCAAAGAGGAGGAGCCCACAGAGGTAGAGGAGTGCACGCCCACTCTAGATCTCTCTCTTCCTTACAAGCCAAGGACGGAAGCCCCTCCCTGGTCAGTGGTCCAAGGCAACGCGAGGTGAGGGGTTTTAAATTCCTTCCCTCTGCCCACAAGTCATCCCTGTCTCACAGGAATATTGGGAAGTGGGGGGTTAAAGAAGTAAAATACATAAAATACCTAGCCAGCCCGGCACTCTGTCGGGTCTGACAAGCAGTCACACGCTCTCTTCTCCCCTGCACTGTCCCCTGTTTGGGTTTCCTGAGGGAGCATCCTGGATCTGAATGACCTGTGCCGTGCGTTTTTGAATTGAGTCGCTCAGCTTTACTTATTGAGACCTCACGCGCTCGGCACTGAGGTCATCTGGCTTAAAGGAAGTAGTGGAATTATAGAATTCTTCAGACTAAGAAGGGATCTCAGAGGTCACGTCTCACTCATTTCATGGGGGAAGGATCCAGGGTCCAGTAGTTGAGAAGGCGGGGCCTCCAGTGCCTTCCGCCACAGCGCGTTCACTGGCAGCACCTCAGTCACACCTGTGTCCCCAACACCCCCAAAAGTGTCTGGCCTATTGTTGGCTCTCAGAAAATATTTGCTAAATGAATCGATTCGCTGTATTCCCCTGCCTGGCCTTTGGCAGTCAAACCATAGCTTGTGGCTTTGTAAGACTTCCGTGAACAGATACCACGCGTGACACAGCCTTCTCAAACCACGTGTAGGGGCTTAAAGTTAGACTCCGCCATGGACTATGCAGTGCAAATTAAAACATTTTAGCATCTTAAAAATATATGCATATAAATATATAGGATATTTATTTTTAAAGACGTAGGAGAGGGGCGTATACCACTTAGTATATGTCGTATTTTTATTTTAGGTGGGAGAAGTAATCACGAGGGGCCAGCAGACCGCCAAGCCCGTGAAATGTACGCCGGACAGCAGCCGAGAGCAAGCAAGCCAAAGGTAGCCCCGCCCCAGTTTAGCTTTATTGTATTGTCCTCTTCATTGTCATCTGATGGCTAGAATGGACCTTCCAAAAAGATAGTTATTTAAGGTTTTTAAACGATTCATACCACGAACGTTAACGTTCATGACCCAGACTTAGACTCTTGATTGGCAGGGCTCTAAATTCCTAAAAATAAGTCTGTGTGCATGCGGGTCCCAGTTTCTCGGGAAATAACACCAAGTGGTGACGTCAGCACTGCTGACCGCTGGCGTTTAGGGAGCGCTTGCTCTGCCGGGCACTTTGCTGTGTGCTTTACCCGCAGTAACACGTGTAACCCGCCCCGTTTGTATCCTCAGCGTACAGATGGGGAAAGCGAGAGAAAGAGAAGTTGAGAATGTTCAAAGGTCACGTAGCTATGACATGTTGGGACAACTGCCGAGCCCTGTTCACAGTGCTGCTCACGCTGCATCCCTTTTATGACCCACGTGTCACTTCATAGACTCCAAAACTCTCAAGGCTTCAAGGCCAAGAGGCCCCTCCGTGTGCCATTGTGTCAGGTCACCTCTGGCCTTTGCGTTAGCTTCTTACCCACCGGGACCTTCACCCCCTCGAGAGAACAGTCACCCCATTCCGCGTGTTTCTCAGCGCGAGGCAGGCTCTCCTTGGTTCCTCACTGAAGACTCTAGCTCGGGCCCCTGGAGACCCTCAGAGCAAAGCCCACCTCCTGTAAGCAGTGACATCCCGTGAAGTATGCTGGACCAAGCTCTCGATGACTTCCCAGTTCTTCCTTAGAACGGACACCCCAGCGCTTCCAGCTTTCCTGCTCCCTGGCAGGATTTCCGGGCTCTTACCATCCAGATGGTAAAATCTATTTTGAACCAAGGCAAACTATCTTTGTGATACAAATGTATGTGCCGGAATTATCATTATAAAAATACCTGAACGAGAGCTATGTTTGTGTCTTGCATAATGCAAGCAGTCAGGCATCTGTATATTCAAAGGCAACTGTGGAAGTTTTGTAGGATTTTCAAACCTGGGGTTTGTTTGAACAGGTATGGAATTGAATTCCCACTGGAAAGTGGGGCGCTGTTTTTAACCTTGGAAATCCACGGGTGTATTTTTCAGCTCCATGATTCCCTTTCAGATACGTGTGTAATTTACAGAGCTTCGAAGGTATTATGACTACCGTGAATATTCACGGTCACAATTAACCCCCAGCAGCATCCACACACGTAAGGAGTCTGAGTCTAATGTGTGAGGAATTGCAGGGATGCGAAGCCAAGTCATTGCAGACGGTTTTCAGACGGTTTTCAGGCCCCGGGAAAACCGTCATCACCGTGGTTACCCTTGATGTCTATAGACATCTTCCCACCCTTCTCCGTAGTAGTGTCTCCTGTGTTATTCTTGAAGAGCCTTTCCTCTTCATCCTCATCATGAGAAATGGTCACTTCACGACCATACAGAGTATGTGGAAGTTGTTTGTGATGCTCCTGAATCACTGACAAACTTCATTATCCAGCCTCTGGCTGGGGGAGCCCACTCACCGAACAGCCGCCCACTCAGGCTGCATGCGGGAGTGAGGCCAGGCAGGTGGGATGTTTGAGGGACAGGACGGCAGGTGCACCAGCACATCCCGGGACCGGGACGGGCCCCTCGACCCTCTCGCAGACTGGGCCGTCCTTCCCTCCCACTGTGGAGGCGGAGTGGACGGAAGCAGAAAGACACGTGGGTGAGGTTTAGTTCATCGAGAGGGACAGGGTCACGTTTGGGGTCGGGGGGGCAGGTAACTGATTCAGCAAACTCTTGTGGTCCCGTGACACTGAATGATAAAGGAAGATAGCAACTTTCTCACAAATGGATTCGTTGAGTGTTGAGTGCCTGCTCTGTGCTCTACGCTGCTATGCATTATCTTCTCCTTAATATTCGAAATAACTACGAGGTGAGTCCTGCTCTTACTAATGTACTGAGGTTCAAAGAGATTGAGGAATTTGCCCAGGATCACAACGTCACTGAGCGTGTGGCGGAACCAGATTAGAAAACTCGGTCCGGTCCTGAGCTTGCCTTCTTACTGTCTTTCCGGGACCCTTTTTAGCAGGCTTTCTTCTCTAGAGCAGTCTTAGGTTCACAGCAAAATTGAGCAGAAGGCACAGAGATTTCGCATATACCCCCGTCCCCGTTCAAGCACAGCCTTCTCAGTTATCAGTATCCCCCATCTGAGTGGTTCGTTTGTTACGATTGATGAACCCACACTGACAATCATTATCACCCAAAGTCCATAGCTTACATTAGGGTTCACACTTTATGTTGTTCATTCTACATGGTTTTGGCTATCACCCAAAGTCCATAGTTTACATTAGGGTTCACACTTGATGTTGTTCATTCTACGTGGTTTTGGGCAATGTATAATGATATGTACTGCTCTAAAAATCCTCTGTGCTCCACCTGTCCCTCCCTCCCTCCCTCCCCTCGACCCCTGCTGACTATCGATCTTTTTACTGTCACCATAGTTTTGCCTTTTCCAAAACGTGATATAGTCGCTATCATATAGTATATAGACTGTTCATATTGGTTTCTTTCACTTAGTCCTGTGCATTTAAGCTTCCTCCATGTCTTCTCATGACTTGATAGTGCATGTTTTAAGTGCCGAATAATATTCCATCATCTGAATGCACTACAGTTTACTAGCCATTTACCTACTGGAGGACATCTTGTTTGCTTCTAGCTTTTGGCAATTATGAATAATGCTGCTGTAAACATCGTGTGCAGGTTTTTGGGTGAACATAAGACTTCAGCAACCTCGAGTAAATACCGGGGAGTGTGATCGCGGGGTCGTATGGTAACGGTATGTTTTGTTATGTAAGAAGCTGCCGAATCGTCTTCACCGTGGCTGTGCCATTTTGCATTTCACCAGCAATGGATGAAAGTTCCCGTTGCTCCACATCCTGCCGGCATTCGGTGGAGTCAGTGTTCTAGGTTTCGGCCACTCTAGGAGGTGTGTAGGGTTATCTCGTTTTAATTTGCATTTCCCTGATGACCTATGGAGTGGAGCATCTTTTCATAGGCTTATTGCCAACTACACATCTACCCCCATGATGCGTCTGTGAAGATTTTCAGCCTATCTTTCAATCACGTGATTTGTTTTCTTATTGTTGAGTTTTAAGAGTTCTTTGTATATTTTGGGTAACAGTCTTTTATCATATGTCTTTTGCAAATATTCCAATCTGTGGTTTGTCTTATCAATATCTCAAAATTCTTTTTCACAGGGCAGAAGTTTTTAATTTTAATAAAGTCCAACTTGTGAATTATTTCTTTCATGGATCATACCTTTGCTGTTAAATCTAAAATGTCATCACTGTACCCAAGATTTTCTAGTTTTTTTCCTATGTTATCTTCTAGGAGTTTTTATAATTTTGCTTTTTGTGTTTAGGTCGACGATTTATTTTGAGTTAATTTTGGGAAGGTTGTAAGGTCTGCGTGTGGATGTCCAGTACTTCTGGCACCATTTGTTAGAGACTATCTTTGCTCCGTCGAATTGCCTTTGCCCCTTTGTCAAAGATTAGTTGACTGTGTCTATGGAGGTCTATTTCTGGGCTCTCTATTCTGTTTCATTTATCTACTTTTTGTACTCTTTTGCCGATACCACACTGTCTTGATTCCCATAGCTTTATAGTAAGTCTTTAAGTTGAGGAGTGTCAGCCCTCCAACTTCATTCTTCTCATCTAATATTGCACTGGCTGTTCTGAGTCTTTTGTCTCTCCACGTGAACTTTACAATTAGTTTGTCGATATCCACAAGATAACTTGCTGGGATTTTTATTGGAATTGCATTGAATTTATAGATCAAGTTGAGTAGAACTGACATCTTGACAGATTGAGTCTCCCTACCCATAAACACGATGTCTCCCTGTTTATTTCGTTCTTCGATGTCCATCAGAATTTTATAGTTTTCTTCAGAAATCAGAGTCACTTCATGGTATCTTTTAATGAACAGAATACCATATTCTTAAAATAATCAAAATCGGTACACTTTTAAATGATTAATGCTTTCTTATTTTTATTTTAGATATCCTATCTCACTGTGACATCGTAAAGGTAGTCTCTTATGTTATAAAGCTTTGTGGTTTTCGTTTTCACATTTAGGTATAATCCACTAGGAATTAATTTTTGTTTAAGGTCCGACAGTTTTATTAAGATATGACAACTTAATTTTTTTCCCATTTAGACACCCTACTGTCCCAATGTCTCTTGTTATAAAAGTTATACTTTCTACAATGATCAACAAGTCCACCTGTGTCAGAGGTCAAGTGTCCACATATGTGCGGGTCTGTTTCTGGACTCTATGCTGTTCTATTCCCTTAATTTTCCTAGGAAATTATAACTAGCAGTAAAAGTCCGCTCAACCTATTCTTCTTATTGAAGAGTTGGCTCTTCCTGGCCCTTTGTGTTTCTATATAAATGTTAGAAATGACTTGTCATGTTTCTGTTTCTCTCTCTCTCTCTCTCTCTCACACACAGACACACACACACACACACACACACACACACACAGCGTATTGGGATTTTGTTTGGAATTCTATTGGATATATAGAACAGTTTACGGAGAACAATTCTTATATCGGCATCTCTTTTTTAGTCTTATTTTAGTGTCTCAGTAAAAGTTTATAAGTTTTCCATCAATATTCCATGTTTTATTAATTTTTAGGCATGTGATATTTTTAATGCTATCATAAATGTGTACTTTTTTGTTTGTTCGTTGCTGGTACATAGATTTGCAGTTTTTATTGTGGTAAAATACACATAACACAATTTACCGTTTTAGCCATTGAAAAGTGTACAGCTCAGTGGTATTTAGTATATTCACAATATTGTGCAACCATCACCACTATGTAATTTACTTTGTGTTTAAGTTTTTACCCAGCAACCTTGCTAATATCTCTTATTATTTTATTAATTTGCCTGTTGGTTCTTTTAGATTCTCTGCATATCTGCCAAGAATGATCGCTTGTTTT